CCCTCCCCACCCTCCCAGCCACCAATTCCTTCCCAATATCCAACCTAAATCCCTTTTAGAATCAAACTGTTCCCCTGTAACCTGTCCCTCTCTCCCCACATAAAAACTCCCTGTCCCTCTGCAGAATTCACTACATGGGAACCTTTTTAGTTTTTTAGGCACCCCTTGAAGCAAGAAAATGTATTCCCACTTTGCTCCTAAATAACTGCAGTGTCTGCCTGAGCACTCTGGGCTGTTCCAGGCTCATGGCTCTCGTTAAGACACGGTTTAATCTCCTTCTCCTGTGTTCCCACTTGCATTTAAACCCCCAAGTTAAACTTCAGCTCCCGCTTTTAAAATGTTGTGCTTGGTTTGGGAAGGCACCCAGGGAGCTCCGGGGTGTTGTTACAATGTCAGGGCCAGCCTTAAGCTCAGCTCTGGGCTCTGCTGAGCTGAGCCTTGCCCTGCTGTGCCCCCCCAGGTGCATGATGGACAGCGATGACGAGGTGAGGGACAGAGCCACCTTCTACCTGAACGTGCTGCAGCAGCGGCAGCTGGCGCTGAACGCCGCCTACATCTTCAATGGTGAGGGCAACAAACACCCCCAGCTCTGATTGATTCACCTCTGGGAGCAGCAAACACCCCCAGCTCTGATTGATTCACCTCTGGGAGCAGCAAACACCCCCAGCTCTGATTGATTCAGCTCTGGGAGCAACAAACACCCCCCAGCTCTGATTGATTCAGCTCTGGGAGCAGCAAACACCCCCAGCTCTGATCACCCCTTGAACCCAGGCCTGGCCCTGGCTGAGTGTGGCACAGCGTGGGGTGCATTGTCTGGAGAAGGCTGGGAGGGTGAGCTGTGCTCTCCCCTCTGATGGGCCCTCACCTGGGAGGGGTTCCTGACCTTTGCTCCGTCTTTGCTGGGACAAAACCAGGAGCAGGTGTCTCGGTGCCAGCCCAGGCTGTACATGGCTGTGTGCACAGCAGCACATCTGGGATCCTGGCTGCCTGGCTTTGTCCCAGGCAGATGTTTAGGCCTGGCAGCTTTGTGTCACCTCCAGAGCAGGTTGTTTTTACTCTGTGCCTCCAAGTGCTCTGTGTGTGTCTGTGGCTGGGAAAAGCACCTTTGTCACCCCGGGGACCTTTTCCTGCTCTCACCACCCAATTTTCCTGCCTGTTTGCCTGGCAGGGCTGGCAGTGTCCGTTCCTGGCATGGAGAAGGCCCTGCACCAGTACACCCTGGAGCCCTCAGACAAGCCCTTTGACATGAAGACAGTCCCTCTGGCCACGGCCCCCATCTTCGAGCAGAAAGCAGGTACCGCCTCAGGCTCGGCGTGAACGGGGTGTAGGCCCAGCTCAGAGCGCCCAGGGGGTTGTTGTTCTGCTCTCCTTATCAGGGGCAAGTCTGTAATGATCAGGGTTTGTTAGTTCACAGCCTTTGGAAAAACTCCCCTCCAGAAGTGCTGAGTCACTTCCCTGGCTGTCCTCCACGTCCTTGCTCAGCTGCTGCCTTCTGACCTTGCACAGCGCTTGAACAAAAACTTTGAGGCTTTTTGTTTTTCCCCCTTTTTCCTCCTGCTTCCATTTTTTTTTTTACTAGGCTAAAATGTGGTTTATTTCTCTCTGTAAAATCCAGCATTTCCTCACAAAAAAAACCCCCAAAAAAGGATATTTCAGTGTGAGAGGAATGGGGCTGGAAGTGGTTTGCAGCAGGACATGTGGGAAAATGTCCTGGGGGGGAGGGGGGAGGGGAAGGAATTTTTGGTGGAGATGGGACGGAGTTTTGGTGTAGTTGAGAGCACAAAGCCTTTGTTTTTTCTCCCCAGAGATTGCCCTGGTGACCAACAAACCTGAGAAAGTTGCTCCTTCACGCCAGGATATATTCCAAGGTATGAGAAGATCAGGGGCTTTCCAGAACTTTCCCACAGGAGAGCTGGAGAGGGACTGGGGACAAGGGATGGAGGGACAGGACACAGGGAATGTGTCCCACTGCCAGAGGGCAGGGATAGATGGGATTTTGGGAAGGAATTGCTGGCTGGGAGGGTGAGGAGGGGCTGGACTGGGTTTCCCAGAGAAGCTGTGGCTGCCCCTGGATCCCTGGGAGTGTCCCAGGCCAGGTTGGAGCATCCTGGGGCAGTGGGAGGTGTCCCTGCCTTGAGATGATCCTTCAGTTCCCTTCCCACCCAAACCGTTCCTTGGCTCTGTGACTTGCTGGGATGATCCCGTGGGTGGGAGCAGTGGACAAGCCTGTCCTTGCCCTGGCTCTGCTCCCTCCCCAGAACAACTGGCAGCCATCCCTGAGTTCCAGAGCCTGGGGCCCCTGTTCAGGTGCTCCGAGCCCGTGCAGCTCACGGAGGCCGAGACCGAGTACTTCGTCCGCTGCATCAAACACGTCTTCACCAACCACATCGTGTTCCAGGTGAGGCAGGGGGTCCTCACCGGCCTGGGGGGTCAATGGGGGGTGACAGAGGCCGCTGTGTGTGCCAGGGAGGGTTTTCTGGGCCGGTTCCACGCTGTGCCTTGTGCTCTGCTGCAGTTCGACTGCACCAACACGCTCAACGACCAGCTCCTGGAGAGGGTGACGGTGCAGATGGAGCCCTCGGACGCCTACGACGTGCTCTGCTGCATCCCAGCTCCCAGCCTGCCCTACAACCAGCCTGGCATGTGCTACACCCTGGTCAGGATCCCCCAGGACGACCCCACTGCAGGTACCGGCTGTGCACAAAACCCCTCTGAGACTCCGCCGAGGGCTGGGTTTGGCGTCCCGGGATCGTCCCTGGGATTGGGCTGCGTGGGGAGCCCGAGTGTGTGCCACGCACTGTACGGAGGTTTGAAATGCTCAGTGTTGTTGGGTGGTTGAAGATGGGATTTAGAGAAGGTTTGAGAGTGTGCAGGTGGTGGGAGCTTGAATTGAGTAGCTGGAATCGAGGAGAGGAGCAGGTTTGAAAGCGTGAACGTTTGGTGATGTTAAAGATCAGAGCCGGGAAGAGGAAAATGCAAACACTAAAACAATGCAAATGATAAAAACATTAGTGGTTCAGGGCTCTGTATAATTGACCAGTGGAATTCTTCCTCTCTTCAATGAATTAGCATCAGCTGTGAAATGTAGAAATGGGATTTTCCTGGCTGTGAAACTTCCCTTTCTTTCTTTTGTTCCTCTCCACTGCATCTGCAGTGGGTTTAACGTGACTCAACTCGTCTGTGCAGTGGCATTGCTGTAACAGCAGGAAAGATTAGGACTAATCTGAATTCCCTGATCTCTGGGTCATGCTTCCCTTGGCCGAAATCCTTGTGGAATTGCTCCTGGCAGCAACGCCACTGCAGCACTGGGAGTCAGGCTGCTCGTGATGCCACAGCCCCTTTTTGGCCTTCCCCTTGACATCAGCGTGTTTCTGGTGGCTCTTCGCTGCAGTCTCATTTTGTGGGAAGGGAGGGCTGTGGCACAGGGAGCTGCGCTGCTGATTGTCCTGCCTTTCCCTGTCCCTGGCAGTGTCCTGCACCTTCAGCTGCACCATGAAGTTCACGGTGCGGGACTGCGACCCCAGCACGGGGGTGCCGGAGGAGGACGGCTATGAGGACGAGTACGTGGTGAGTGCAGGCCTTGCTTTGCTCCCCCCCTGTCATCAGCTGGGAACACGTGTGGCACACTGTCCTTTCACACCTCAGTCACTTCTGGGAGTGACACAAACGTCCTCCCTGCCTGAAACCCCAAAATGCTCCCAACACGTCCAAAAGGCTACCCGAAGCTTTAGGGCCCTGTGGAGACAGGATTGGTGGGGACAGGCAGGGAAAAAAGGAAGGAATAACTTCCCTGGTTTGTTTTCACAATCAGTCCTTCCACCCCAAGCATTTGCAGGTCTGATTATCTTGGAAATACGAGTCAGGTGTCAGGAAGTGCTGAGAGAGGAGAAGGGTCCAGGGAGACCTGAGAGCCCCTTGCAGGGCCTAAAGGGGCTCCAGGAGAGCTGGAGAGGGACTGGGGACAAGGGATGGAGGGACAGGACACAGGGAATGGCTTCCCAGTGCCAGAGGGCAGGGACAGATGGGATGTTGGGAAGGAATTGCTGGCTGGGAGGATGAGGAGGGGCTGGACTGGATTTCCCAGAGAAGCTGTGGCTGCCCCTGGATCCCTGGAGTGTCCAAGGCCAGGCTGGAGCAGCCTGGGACAGTGGGAGGTGTCAGGGTTGGGCCTGGATGATCTTTCAGGTCCCTCCCAACCCAATCCAGTGGCATTCCGTGCATCCTGAGGAAGTCTCTCCCCGTGGATGCCCAGTAAGGGCTATAAAGGGCTTTAAGCCCCCAAGTGATGACCTGATTTTCTGTTCTCTCTCAGTCCCTTTGGTGTGAGTGTTTCCAAGGTTTATAAATGCCTGGAATAAACACAATTTCCCTGTTTCAGGAGCTGTTGTCGTGTGCTGCTCCCGAAATCAAAGCCACACCTGGCACAGCTGCCTTGGCAAATGCTGCTGGATCTTCTCCTTCCCAGGGTGAGGCTCCTTCCTGTCCCTGCCCTGAAAATCTGCCTCCCTTTTCCCTCAGCTGGAGGACTTGGAAGTGACCGTGTCTGACCACATCCAGAAGGTGTTAAAGCCCAACTTTGCAGCTGCCTGGGAAGAAGTGGGAGATGACTTTGAGAAGGAGGAAACCTTTGCACTCAGCTCCATCAAAACCCTGGATGGTGAGAGGGCCCCTCATTTGTTGGGGGGAAACCCTGCTCTGCTGGGATGTATTTTTAGGGACGTTGGGAGGGACCTGGAGGTCATGTCCTTCTTCCATCTCTGAATGCAGAAGCTGTCAACAACATCATCAAGTTCCTGGGAATGCAGCCCTGTGAGAGGTCAGATAAAGTGCCAGAGAAGAAGAATTCCCACACACTCTACTTGGCTGGTGAGTGTTCCTGCTGTTGGGTTCCA